ACTTGATGCCGACCGGGAATTTCCGTCCGGGATCCACTTGGGGGACGGGGCAACTAAGCCAATGCATAACGTCCCATACATTCACTGCACACCAAACCCTGTTTCCACTGATCCACTTCTCACACGAACTGGCCTCTCGAACTGACCAATCATATATCGTCTGTGAACATTGTCCCAAAATCGCGAATCACATCGTGTCACTTCTCACGAATCCAACACAAACTGATCAGAAACTTTCGCAACCTTCTTCACCTGATTCCGTGGAAGACCCGAAACGTCTCCTGTTAGAACCTTTCTATTTGCTGGATCCACAGGTCTTCGTCTTGGTGAACCTTGATTTTCCTCCAACGTTCATCCTGGTATCCAGACTGGTCCACAGGGGTCCGGGAACTTGTGTCTGCTTCTGCACGTGATCTCGTCATCACCATCAATGCCTCAGCCGCGGTAGCTAAAGACTCCAGTATTCCGGCATCAGGACTATCCGCTCCAAATTCGGCTTGGTCTGAACGAACTGCATCAGTCGCAGGGATACTTGGTATTTCTGAAGGCTTCATGATCTTTTTAGGGATTCTGGATACGAGACGTAGATGCACTATCTCATCGGGTCATCGAGCTCCCAGGATTCTCCAAGCATGAGAGCCTTAGAGGTCAAATAGTCAGCTGCTTGGTTATATTCACGTTGAACATGAATTCACTTCACAGACATAAAATTCTTCCTGAGATCATCATACTCAGCCAAGCGTCCTTGCAGAGTGGTTGCCATTGATCAGACCCTTAGCCTGTTGGACGACGATTCGGGAATCACCAACTGCCACAAGCTCCTTGACATCATACTTCATAGCGAGCTTTATCCCCAGAATCATATCATGGTATTCAGCATCGTTGACCGTCACACCTTCTAGGATGTGTCCTTTTGCCACCCTGGCAGCTTCCACAGTATGCATCCGCAACTTCCTCGCCGAGTAGAAAATTTTGCAGCACCATCAAAACTCAGAACGTAGCCTTGGTAACTCGCGTCTAACATGTCCAGACTCACTAGTGGCATCACTTTCAGACGCCCCTTGGCGGGAATCAGGGTCTCTGCATCTTTATCTAAATGTTCCCTGGCAGTAATATCGGACCCAAGGATGGCCGGAAGGCCGTCCTCATCTTTCTGAGTCCGATGGACTTCCAGTGTCCATCTTGATAGTTCCAGCCCCCATTTCAGATGTCGTCCATCTGCGGTGTTGGATTGTATTAACCACTTTAAGACAGAGTAGCGCGTATACACCGCAACTGGTAATTCTGATCCATGGATCAGAGGTCTGAAAATTTTCAGAGTCCGCAAGATTGCGAGCACTTCCTTCTCAGCTATATGGTAACGTAGCTCTGATTCCTTCAACACTCTACCAGTAAATCGTACTGAGTGTATGAGTCCTTCATGCTCCTGACCCAAGACGGCACACGCCGCCCACGGGTTAGCATGCGGGATGATCACAAAAGGCTTCGTTCTGCCTGGATGACGCAACAGCGGGGTCGACACGATCTTACGTATCAGTATCTCGAAGTATTCATTCGCTGCATCCAGGTTCCGTCCAGCGAGTACACGTTCTTCGTCTCGTTCGTAGAGCACAGCAGCAACTACTGGTAAGTCTTCAATAAACTTGTTGTAATAATTCAGACTTCCTAAGAAGGACTGCACTCCCTTGTACGTCGGCGGGAAAGGTAAATCCTCTATGCCTTTGACAATCTTCGACAAGGCCCTGATTCCGTCCTCACTTACTTCATGAGAGTGGAATGGGATGTTCAACTTTCCAAATTCACTTTTCGGTAAGCTTACAGAGATGTTCCAATATCGTAGTATGTATAACAACGCGTCCAGGTTCTCACCTAGTTGGTCCCAGGTCGACACCCCATGAGCGATATCGTCAATATACGAGCTCCTTCCCAAGACCGGACCCATTTGTGATGGAGCCGGGATATTGCGTCGGAATACAGTGTCCGGCGATGGGATCTCTGAATCCCTCATATCCACTTCAGGTTTCAGGGCTTCTTGAGGCTCGAGGTCCAGGAACTGTAGAACTTCTGGGTCAACCATCACCTCCTCTTCAAGAGGTAGACGGACGAATCACCACAGGCAGTTGTTGATAATGCTCTGATAAATTAATGTTGCATTCTTCAATCGAAAAGTCATTCTGAGCCATTGAAAGGGGCCGAACGGACAGACGAATGCAGAGATCAACCTCGCACGGTCAGTCATACGCAACGCCCAGAATCCACTTGCCATGTCGAGACTCATAAACCACATCGCGGATTTGAAATCTACCAGCAGATCATCGATCAAAGGTAGAGGATAGCGGGATAGCTTTATGAGCAAATTCAGGAGTCGGTAGTCAATACACATCCGGATGTCTATGCCGTTTTTCTTCAGCACAATCACATTAGGGGATGACCACTCGGACTCTGAATGCTCAATGAGCTCCGCTTTTAACAACTACTTCAAGAGTTCAAACACATTCACCAAGAAAGGTGCGGCAATCTGTCTCGCTCGTAAAGCCACTGGTTTCGCTTCGCCAACGTCTATGTCACACACTACGCCCCTAGCCGGGGCTGGAGCTGCGTTCCCATCTTCTAGGAAGATGCTACGATGGCGTTTCTCATCTTTGCTTCCATCTCTAGAGTTGTGACCCCCGGAACTCCGACATTAGCTTCGTCGATGTTACATTCTGGGGTCAGTTCCTCAATTGCGGGGAGCATGATAAGTTGGTCTCGTAACTGCGCCATCAAATCAATTCCTTCCCTGAGTCATACGGCAGGTTCCAGATCCGGCTCTTCAGCAGAGACTCGCATCACCCTAGCATATTCTGCTTCCAGTCTTTGGACCGGTGTCGAGCAGTTCGTCTGTGGCTGGATTTCCACTGGCGGTTCAGGAACCGGATCATTATCCGCGACATTAGCAACACACTCTGGATCCAGGGTCTTGACTTCTGGACTCACGTCAGAATGGGTTGGTTCTACGGGCCCGGGACGAGTCTCAGGTTCTTCGGGGCCTCTCGCGGCGTGTTCATGACGACCGCTGAATTCCCGATGGACTTGAGTGCCATATCCAACGGTTTCGGCTTCTCTTGTAGCTTCACCATCTTCACTTCAACGGCTTGGGACTGCGGACGCATTAAGAGCTTAGTAGGCCACTCATATCTCGGGGTTGGGGTGCACGGAGGCTCCCTTTCCCTGAGAATCTGCTCTAGTCGTTCGACACACATCATTACCTGGCGTAACAGGTACACGCATGGATTAATTCTTGCCATTCTTCATACCGCGCCTTCCCCGGGCGAACGAATCCAGGCTGTCCTGGGAACTGTCCATACGCCCCAATACGCGCCACAGCGGTCCTAGTATCGATCCACACATTCGGGTCAGAAACACTAACAACCTTTACGGCAGTCGCCCAGGATCTGGCAGAATACAGGACTTTGGTCACCCAGATTTCAGCTCTCCCAGCTCACACCAACTCATGTTGAGGTTTGGTCTGACCATACCTGATTCGTACAATAGCGTCCTGACCAGGACGCAGGTGTATGTTTTCTTCGGGGCACACTGGGAGATCCATATCACGGGACTTAAGATTATCATCGGACATAACTACAGTATCTTCGTCTGGCAGCCTGACTAAGCCTTCTCGTATACAGAGTCGGACACCTGCCGAATGTATAACGTTCATGCCTAGCAGGACGTCAACACCTTCTCCAATATTTCCAACCCAGATGTTTAGGACGTATACCACACTCCATCCGAAAGTTATCTTCACTCGGGCATGTGTAGTAATGTAAGTGGTCACTCTTCCTAAACCAGAAACTTTGATTTGACGGTGTGTCCGGAGCTTGAGTTTAAGTCTACGCGCTAGATCAAGACTCATAATGCTCACGGACGCACCGGTGTCCAATAAGATTCTGGTTCTGGAGTCGTTCACACCTCTATGTATCGTCGCCAACCCATTCATGTCTCCATGTTCGTGATTTTCCCACCATCCGTACCTCTGACCCGGTTTCA